CCCTAAACCCTGAATCCTAAACCACAACCCAGGTAAGCCCTGCCCAGGTCCTCGTCGGCCCTTTCCTCGCCGACGCGTCGTGGTCCCAGGGAGGAGTTTCAGTCTGCTGCCGGAGGGCACATCTGCAGGAGAGTAGGGGTTTCTTTCAAGGAATTATAAGGGTTCCTAGAAGGGGTATATAGGGGTTCAGGGTTTAGGTTTTTAAGGGTTTGGGGTTTAGGGGTTTATTTGGAGTTTACGGCTCAAAGAGCTAGGGTTTTAGGGTTTAACGTCAAGGGATTGGGGTACAAGGGGCTTCCACAAGTAAGAATCGTGGTTTTCGTTTTTCTGGCCTATGAGAAATTATATAAATACAAAATAAATATAGCTATACATCTATCTATCTATCTATCTATCTGTCTATCTATCTATATATGTAGATATTCATGCACGTCGCTGCTTTCCTCGTAGTATAGTAGACCCACTGGAGGTGATCGTCGTCGAAGTCTCGAGTTAGCAAAATGCAGCGGAGATCTGGGTTTAGGGTTTAGGGATGACAGTTGACAGTCACCCTACCCGACAAAACGCTACAGCCCTGAATTCCGCAAGCCCCGCAATACCAAGGCACCAAAAACACGGAACATTAAAAGTAAACCGTGAACCCTAAACCCCTAAGCATAAAACCCCCCAAAATGCAAACAACATACGAACCTGAACTTAGACTGCTAAACCCCATAAACCTTAAACCCTTTAATCCCAAAAATGCTACAAACCTAGACTCCCACACCCCCCAAACCCCCAACAAACAGCTCCCAAACCCACAAAAACCTACAAAGTCAACCCTAAAACCCCTAAACCCTAAACCCCCCAAATCCAAAAGACCTAAAAAGCTGAGCTCCAGGACCTCAGCCCAGAGGAGTTGGAGCCACTGGATGTTGCTGTTGCGTTCCTGAGCTGCCCTCTAAAAGGCGGGTTTGGGTTAGGGTTTAGGGAGTTTAGGGTTTAGGGAGTTTAGGGTTTAGGGTTGGGGTGGGCTTTGTGCTGGTGAGGTTGTTGTAGGGTGGCTTTTTGTTTCACACACCCTAAACCCTAAACCCTAAACCCTAAACCCTAAACCCTAAACCGTGGTGTGCTTTATTTTAGGGTTGAGCATTCTGGAGACTTCCATCTCATACGGCCTCAGGGCGGAGTCTGCAGGTTCGGCATAGTTAAGGGTGTTAGGGGTGTTGAGGGTTTAGGGTTTAGGGTTTAGGGTTTAGGGTGTTGAGCCTGAGGGGGCTTAATCTGTTTAGACTTGGGATTGGGATGTTTAGGGTTTAGGGTTTGCAAGAAATCGAAGCTTGAGGATTGAAATCGGCGTAAGGGTATAGTGCTTGAAAGGTTTCGGACTTAGTGATGTCAAGCTGTGGGGTTTAAATCTAAGGGCTCTAGGAGGGACCCTTAATAGGGACCCTTGTAGGTTATTGGGGTTAATATGGAGGCTACCTGGCTATATAAGGGGTATATAAGGACTATACAATGGTTATTTAAGGTAATGGGGTTAAGGGTCCCTGTTAGGGGTCCCTCCTAAAGTCCTTAGATTAAAGGAGTAGGGTTCCGAAAGCCATGCACGGTTAAGGCCTTGCTATGTTGCGTGTATGTGTGCTGTTTTGAAACCAATCGCGGGTCACTCAAGTGTGTGTTGTTTTGGTTATGGGTATTTGTATTGTGGTGTGTTTTGCATGACACACCATAAACCCTAAACCCTAAATCCTAAACCCTAAACCCAATCTGCCATTCTGTGAATAATGCTTCCGAATTTAAGCATGGGCTTCAGCTGGTCACTCAAGCAGACTTGGCAGGTTGCCTAGGGTCGCTGCATTCATCTCCAGGCCATGCAATGCTTTACAGAGAGAGAGAGTGTGGTGTATATATATATATATACTATCTATATATATATATGAGTATCCGTCAAGACCTCGGTAAGTGTAGTTAAGAGTAGGGTGGTCGTGGAATGTCAGATTTGGCCAACACCCTCGAAAAGCGATAGGACCCCCCCCCAAAAAAAAGATCGATACGATCAACGAAGATCATCTGTTGTGGCCTGTCGGTGCTGCCGCATCGTTTCGTAACCCACCGCCCATTCTGATGGGAAAAAGGCAGTACAGGGCAGTAAAGGCACTGCCTATTCTGATGGAAAAAGGGCAGTATAGGGCAGTAGAGGCCAGGGCAGTAAAGGGCAGCAGAGGCCAGGGCAGTAAAGGGCAGCAAAGGACAGTAATGGCAACAAAGGGCAATAAAGGACTGTATAGGGCAGTATAGGGCAGTATAGGGCAGTAAAGGGCAAGGGCAGTATCACTGCGAGTAGGATCAGTGAGTCTGATGGTCTTCTTCCTTCCACAAGAGCAGAGCGATACCCCACAGAAACATGTAGACAAATTCCTGCAAAGCCATAGGAACCCCCAAATCATCCATGGTTTGGCCATAAACAGTAAGTTTTGACAAACGCTCATATATATATATATATGTCATTTAAACAAGCATTTTAGAAGCAAGCCAGGGCCCGGGAACATGACTTCAAACAGCCGAGCTAGTTGAGGCCATTGCTTGGGCAGTACTGCGGAGTGTCAATGACACTCCACCTTTGAACGGGTCTTTCGCGGCATGGGCCACCACATGAAACACACGGACTTCAGAAGGCTTACGACACCAGGCTGGCTGTCATCTTTCTCTTCATCCCTAAACCCTAAACCCTAAACCCTAAACCCTAAACTTAAACCCTATACCCTTAACCCAATCTTCGTTCTATCGGAGGGTTTCAGAATTCTGAGCTCCTCAAAATCTCAGACATCCTCTCGGCGACGCAGTTGCACTCTCTTTCCGCAAACATCGTAATGCCTATAATTCCATAGCCCAGAAAACCAAAGCCTAGTTACCCTAAACCCTAAACCCTAAACCCTAAACCCTATGAGTCCCGGCCTTGAGCCATAAGGTTTAACTCTGGCATGATCTACTACGAGGACTGGCCGAGGGCTCTGCCGATATTGCATGGATGCTAGGATGCAAAGAGGAGGGCTTTCCGGGTTTAGGGTTTAGGGTTTAGGGTTTAGGGTTTAGGGTTTAGGGTTTCTGTCTTTGTATAAGTTGTGGGGGTCAGGGTTTAGGGAATCTAGCCAGAACAGGGGTTTAGTAAGGCCTGGGTGGGTAAATTAGGGATCCACCTAGACCCCAAAGAACCTACCTTTTTAAGTACTTATGTAAGGAAATCATAAGAAGGAACCGTAAAACCCTAAACCCTAAAGCCGAACCCTAAAACCCTAGACCCCTAGCCCTGAACCCTAAACCCTGAGGGTAGTACCTGGAGGTTCATGGGTAGTTATAAGAGATAAGTCCCCTAATATGGGTTATAATTATAGTTACCCTACTTATAACCCTACTTATAACTACCCATGAACCTCCAAGTAAACCCTATGAAGAACCCTAAACCCTAAACCCTAAACCCTAAACCCTAAACCCATGAACCTCCAAGTATCCATTACACAGGTATCTGGGCTTCGGGCCTGGGCGGGCGTTTGTGGAGGTCCGGTTGACCGGGTAGAAACAGGGTCTGAAGACTGTCAAGGTTCAGAGTTATCCAGGGTTTAGGGTTTAGGGTTGAGGGTCCTAAACCCTAAACCCTGAACCCTAGGTTATAGGATCTCCGATTCGTTGGGGACCCGTCTGTGGTTTCGGCCTATCGTGCAAGGAACGGCTGCATGTGTCAGGGTGGCTTGCCGTCTCCTTTCTGCCGCTGCTGAGCCTTCACGGTGGCAGGGGGTTTCGAGTTTGGGGTTTTCGGATTTAGGATTTGCTCTGAGCTGCCTAAGTCGCCCCCATCGGTGCTACAAAGAACTTTGTTTACGTGCTTGTTTAGGAGGGGGCATACATACATGCATACGCACGTGTACGCACATGCATATGTATACTTTACATGGATATGCATATGTATATATGTTTTGAATATAGATATCCATGGTACATGTGTATATACATACATACATATATATATATATATATATGTGCATACATACATACATACATACATACATAAATACATACATACATGCATAAACACGTGTGCATACACGCATATACACACTGATTATAGATATGCACACACATGCATATATATACATATATATATATCCTTTGTATATACACATACATGCAAATGCATACATACATACATACATA